GAAACATTAAGCATAGAAGAAAGGAATAATTTATTAAGAAAATTAACAAATGGTGAAGAGAATAATTATAAATGAAATTTAGAATTCAATCATCTTTTATTAAAATTAATATTTGTATATGTATTCTTTACATATTAATTAATGATTTTTAATAAAAAATAAAACATTTCTACATGCTGGTTTTCTTTTACATCAACTTTTAAAATTTTTTATAATCAAATAAAATGATAATTAGAATATCAAAATATAAATAAATTTTTTAATTTAATCACGTTTTAAAATTATATCCAGTTAAAATGGAGTAATTAGGATAGACTCATTTTATTTACGAATGACGTAAAGTTGATCGTCGATGATTGTTCATTGGCCAACTTTTGTTTCTTGGTAAATAAATAAAGGATCTCGCATTCTTTATTTTTTGGTGGGTATTGTTCTTATATTTTATTTAAAACAAAACTTTTAAAAGGAGTTAAAACAAAAAAATAACTTATATTTATTATTTCAAGGAATTTTTTAAACGATGATTCAAAGAACACGACAGGTGCGTGTTCAAGGTGCTAATCGTGCGATTGTCGTGCCAAGGCGACGTTTATTTTCAACTTCTATCCCCCCCTTCAACGGCTGTACCTTCTTTCCTTCCCCCTTCTTCTACAACTGTTCCCTCTTCCTTCCCTCTTTCTTCAATGTATTCTTCAGTTTCTCCTTCTCCTTCGCCCTTTCATTCTTCCCCTTCTCATAGTTCTTCTTCCCCTTGCTTTCAGGTTCTTCCCTTGCCCCTTCCCCTTCTTCTTCTTCCGTAAATAGTCCCACTTTAAGTTTTTTTTAACACTCTCCCAACTTTTCCCCTCCTAAGTTTACCCCTACCCCTTCTCCCTCTTCTTCCACTATTCTGGGAACTTCAACCATCCCCCCTCCTATTTCTACTCCCCTCTCAGTCCTCCTCAATTTCGTCAACCCTTCCTAATTTTCCTCCTTTTCCCCCTTCATTTTTCTCCTACCCTTTCACCGTTTATCGTTCTCCTCCTCCCTCACTTTCCTTCTCTTCTTCTTCTTCCTTAAGTTCCCCATTTCAACTCCCTCCACTTCTTCTATTTCTTCCTCCACTTCTTCCACCCCCTCTTATACCCTCCCCGTTTTGAATTGCCCTTATATACATTATCGTCTTCTTAGGTGGCCAGAGCCGATGGATCTTGATCCACCTGGCATTTTTGTAGAAACCCCATTTATTCCTGTGTCCTGAACCAATAGATCTTGTCTTGATCCTCCTGGTATATACATGGCCATTGATTATGGCTTTTATCCTTTCCTCCTCCGTTTTTAACTGGTCACTTCTTTTAGTTTCGTCGCCTTGACCGGCACTTAAAAAAGGTTTCAAAATATTTTTAAAATTTATGATAAGCATGACTATGATGTAAAGATATCGTATCTGTTATATGAAGTTGGTTGTTCATTTTTCCTTTTTGCAATTAAAATATTCACTCTTTTGGCCACCTCATCCGTTAGTTTAGAATTTATTATTTATCATCTTTAAAAAAAAAAAAAAAAAATTATGCATTCGATATTATTTTGAGGTGAATTTTAATTCTATTTATTTCATGTTTTTAATTTATACCCCCATTATATTCATCACATTTGATATGTGATGGTTCAACTTTCTTTAACCTGAACATCTCTACGTGATATTCAGGATAAACGGTTATAGTTTAAGCGTTTACGTTCTTTGAAATGTGGCAATTACATATAAAGGTTTGTAAAAACTAAATAAAAACATGAAAATCTTTTAATAAAATTTTTATTATTTCTCGAAAGACTCTTTTTCAATGACATTTTCTCACTGTGATTAAATAGCGCAATGAATCAGGCAATAAGAGATTAAGATTTCGAGTCTTTTTTATTTTTCAACCCTTTATATCCTATAGAATTTTTTTATGAACTTTACAAATTATAATTTTTTTAAATTTATTTACGGAAGACGCAATAAATATTTATATTATAATAAAAAATTTCACAAAATCAATTATAAAAAAAGAATAATAACTATATGGGAAGTACTATACATTTGAAATTAATGATTTATCCTGAATTTGTTAATTAATTTCTTATTTTGAATCATGTAGGATTAGTAGTTAAAGGTCCCTGTAAGGTGTGGTCGTGAAGACGTGAAGATTTGGAATTGTGGCCAGCTATTTTAACATTAGAGTTAATATTTTATAAACTATTTTTATTTTAATAAGATGACATCTACATAGAGTATTTGCTATTCTCTAATTTTCTATCTTTAATTAGTGTACAATTAAATTTTTATGACAAATATTTCTTTTAATAGAAAATGCAAAATGAAACCCTATATTTAAATTTTAACGTAGCATAGATCTGTTATTTGACTTTCATTTCGACATGACGTTTAAAGCTTATCACAAACAAATGCACCAAGAGAGATAAAAGTGAAGTCATGGTGATATTGCTTACAGGAGTTATATACATATCGTTTGGTAGTTATTTACTGTATTCCCAAGAGATGATTTCTTAAACATTTGAGAGGTTGTTATTGTGGTAATATAAATCAATGTAGAAAATCGTTTATTTTATTTTTGATTTCATTGATTTCAAGTCGATAATACACGAAAGCTGCTACAAATAAATTAGTGGATAATGAAAACTATAAAGACATTTATTTTATTTGAAAATGTAAAGTTGCTATTATATATATATATATATATATTTTTTAAGAAAAAATGAAAATAAATCGTGAAAAATATATCGGAATGTCAGTTATTATACAAAAATTTCACATAAAACTTAAGAAATGAAATTTTAATACTGAATATTATATGAACTTTTCTTTTTTGAATATGTAGAAAACGACATAATAATCTAATATTAAGTGCTTTAATGTTTGAAACAATTATAAGAAAAAATTTATTATTGATTCACACAACTATTAACTTTCAAAGATTTTGGATCGATGTCCGTTAAGGAAGTGGGTAAATTTGGCAAACTATTTATTTGTGTATTCTGACACCAGAGGGTTTTTAAAGAGTTGGGTAAGGTTGGTAAG